TCTTCCCCTAGAGGCTTCCAGTAACGTCTGAAGCCCGATATTTAACATGAGCATAGAACACTATGCTTCACTGCAGTGCAGTCATATCTTGCATGCCCTCAAAGTACATTGCATTCCGAAATCACTTGGGCAGCTTCACTAGTCACAAATGATCTCTAAGATTAAATACTGGACTTTACTCCCATGATTCCTTTTATTGCACTTCACTTCATCTAAAATCTCTTTTGCCTATTTCTACATGCATATATTAACATATTTTTTAGATTTTTCTCGCATTTTCCCTTCATGGACTTTATATAGTTGTATATAAAACAAGTAATTCATCTGTCAATGGAAAGACCCTCAATGAAGCAAGCAGAGTTTTCTCACAGAGGCTTCTAATGGTGGGCAGTGCTGCAACCATTTCTAAATATTTATTTCTAACCCATAATTGTTGTTTCTTTAAAAATAACTTTCTTACTGTCTTTAACTCCGTTTTCCGTGAGAGTGTTTACATGGCCAGATTATTATTATTTTTTCTTAAGTGCCAGCTTTTTATATATATATATCTTTATAAATGTGGGAGTGAGAACACCATGATAAAATTCCAGTGGAGAAGAGGAGATTAAATTCTTCAGACAAAGTCCATGTGAATGCAAGGTAGCACAAGAAAAAAAAAACCCCGATTCAAGGCAAGACATTCATATGCAGCTGGTGGTATCTGTGCCTGTTTACATCTTATTACAACCTCAGAGATCTGCAGAGCAAATAACAGAGTTACTGACAATGATTTCTGTAAGGAAAAGCTTTAGTCATTAGAACTAAAGTTAGAGCAATTTAAATCACGAGTTGATACTTTTGAAACTTCTTAGTGTTCACAGGCAAGACTTGAATTTTGGATAGCAATTAAAATGCTATTAGATGCAGTAATATTTTCATAAAAATAACAATTTAATATTCCGACTCATCACAAATGGTGGCACATTACACTTAGGGAAGTTTTGAAAGAGAAAAAAAAATAACCTCAGTGAATTTTTGAAGAACCAAAATAGGTGACTACTGCTTATATGCCATAGTTAGACCATGCCTAAACTAATAGAAGCATGAATGTAAGGTTTTTCAATACTGTTTTTTTTTCCCTTCTATTCAATTTGTAATACTAGAATACTAGCCCTTCTGAAAGCACTGCAGAGCCAGCTTGAGTGCCCATCTCTTAGAAATAAGACATTTGTTTTCCAAAAAACATTTGTTCCCATTTGGATGGGAAAGAAGGGATTCTTTGACTACACTTTTTATTTAAAAGTCACTCTAGGGCTAGTGACATAAGGGTGACTAGATTAAAAGCTTTCTTTTTATGCTGTACCGTCTGTATGCGCTTATGATTCAGGAAATTCTTTGCATTCGCATGCAGTGGGAGATGGGTGGGAACTTCAGCTCTGTCATTTCACCATTAATTTGATAAACTTCTTCCCAGCTGCTCAGGGCAGCTCGCTTGACTGTGAGTTCCACATCTCACAGCTGCCATGGTTGGTTGGTTGTTTTTTTTTGTCTTTTTGCACCAAACACTCATTAATTGCATGTTTTTCTCTTGCCCTGTACCTGCAAGACCTTAGAATAGGATAGCATTTTTAAACAGTCTCACAGTGCTGCTAGTATTGTATACAGCATCATTCTTCCCCCACCAGGTGGGTTAAAGGATAGCTCTAACACACAAAATGTAGATCTGCAGGCCAGTCCCGAGTAACGCTGCAGCCGCTACTGAAGCGAGTGCGCGGATACGCCGCTGCTTTCCCTGGTAAGAGGGCTCAGGCAGGTGTTTGCAGCAATGAGAAAGCTCCAGGAATGAAACACGCCTTGGTAAGAAGCAGCCTGCAGCAGCGGGGTCACCCGAAGGAGCTGCTGCCTCTTTTGAACGCAATTCCTTTTAATTTGACCATCTACTTGAAAACCAAACAAGCACAGGACTAGTGCCCCAAAAGCCTACTATTTGTATAGAACTTATTCAGGTTTTCTGACATGGCCATTATGCAAAAGCCGCTTTACAAAAGTGTCACCTCAGTAAATACTGCAAAATACTAGACCACTGACTGACAATTTTTATATATACTTTTTGTAAGTAAAATACAGACACACAAAAGAATCTCTGAAAGCTAGCTAGTAAAGATATGAGTAAAAACAAAAACACAAATACTGTAAAAGACAATTTTATTGTTTTTTATATAAAAAGGTCACGAACTGCATTGAAGTGACTTCAGTAGTCTTTAAGATGTTACTTATTGGACATTTACAGTTCATAATCCCCAATAATATGGCCGGAAGCAAGATGGGCTAACATTGCCTATAATGTTTCTATTTACAGTCAATTGGAGTTATGCATGCTGAGTTATTTTTTAAATAAACATCAAACAGTGATCCAAACAAAATCAGATTCATCGTATATTTTGAATTTACATAAAGTACAAATAAAGTCTTTAATCCTTATCCTTGGCAAGGACAAAATTTCATTTATTCAAATTTAAAGATAAATTAGCTCCAAAAGTAGTTATAAATGTAAACACAAGTTATGATGATAAAAATTTTAAGATTTAACTTAAAGTGCTGGAGTATGCTTTCAGCTTTGTTTTTCAGATGTTAAAAACAGAACACTAACACACAAAGCAAGATTCACAGTTGTAATCTCCCTTTAGTAACACTTTTGGAGAATTTTAAAATGTAATGAACTTTGTAGACCATTTTTTTTTCCCATCCTTATCTTTGTTGGCTTTTGACAATTTCTTCCTTTAACTTAAGTGAACTTTAAATTGTGAGTGTATGTGTATAAAATAATTCATATTTTTAAACTTACTCAGTTTAAATTGGACTTTGTGCTGGTGGGGATTTTTTTTTTTTTTTTTTTTTGAAGTAAGATGAACTGGAAAAAGTCAAGAGCTTTGAGAATGGTATAAAGTACCTGAATACAACTCAACGACAACTTCCAGTGAAGCCATTTTATAGTTTCTATTATCAGCATCCCAGAAAAAAATTACATAAGAATTAATGTGCAGAGAAGAGTCAGTGCATTTTATGTATACATAGGCATCTAAGCTTCATTCATGCCAATATACTTGTGATTTCAATTCACATGAAGTTAAGTCTTGGAAGACGTCTGACAAACATAAGCTCAAAAGCAAGAACAGGTATACAGGCTTTACCACAGATGGCTTTTCCTTTGCCAAGATGGGTATCACCCAAAATAAGACATGAGTCCTGAATTCCCCATTCATTATGTCAAAATTTTATACTGAAAACTATTTTTTAAAAAACAGTCTGTTCCTTTTCAGAAAAACAAACAAACAAACAAAAAAACAAACAAACAAAAAAAAAAAAAAACACACACCTATGCTTTGTAATCCTACCGATTATTATTATTTTACTTACTTCCCATATACCTCAATTTGCCTAAGTACTGAGAGGCCCACAGGGACACTTGATAATAAGATATCCTAGTCCTGATGATTTTTTTTTTTTAAATAAAAAATAAACTAAATCCAAGCCAAAAGAGGCTTGGTCTATGCAATGAGGAATGGAAAACTGAACAAAAAGGTATTTCATAGTGCCCTTTACTTTTGGAAAATTTCTAGGAGTTTTAATATATTCTCTACACAGAAAGACTTTTAAACTCAGCGTTATGATCAGGGTTGTATCTTGTCAGTATTTCAAGCAGTATTTCAAGGGTGAACTCTTAGCCTCAGGCTGTTAAGACATGACTGGCATTTGCTCCAAGCCAAAATTTGGACTTCAAACAAACAAAAACCCATAGCCACAAAACAAAGGAAGCTGAAGGGTTTAAAACAATTCCTGGATAATTTGTCTTCAACTACTAACACACTGCAGTCCATTTCTTAGAGCGGGCATAAAGCCAAGTAGTGTGGGTAGCAGGATTTGACAGAAAAGATGCACTGAGCACCTGCATTAAAAGGGCATAATAAAAAAAAAACTCTTAAGTGCAGCTTCACGAGTGAAAGTTATACTCGGTTATTAGTTTAATCTCTAAAGCTTTTTTAAGATGAGAAATAGATCATTACAGGTAGACAACACTTTTAGAGACTGTATGAAAGGAAACCAGCAGGCATGTCCAATATGCTCATCATCCTCATCCTCTTCTAATATAACTGACTGGTGTAAAAAAAAAAAAGGGGGGACCACGAGCACTAGGAGTGATAATCTGTTCTAGTCAATCTACCCGTATTCTGCCCAAGCACTGCAGATTCAACACAGAAAAACACACACTATGCTTTGTAATCCTTAAGGAGACCAAACCAGTAAGGCAGAAACATTTCCTTAATTACTAGCGATCCTAGAAAGCAAGTGATCCCAACAGATGTATTGTACTCACAAAGCACACTGATTTTCACCTTTCCTTTAAACTGGTGAAAATGGTTACAAATAAACCTGATAAGAGATCAATTCAGTTTCCCCTACTTACATCAGTTTATTATCAAGGTGTAATCAGTAAAATGCATGTGTGTTATCCAAGCACTGCTTGGCTAAGCTTGAGTTTATTTAAACTTTTTCAGATTTAATTTGCTCACTCTGGCATCAATTTTGGACTAAAACTTGAAAAGTGCAAATACTTAATTATACCTTAAAAACAAAACAAAAAAACCCACAATTCATTCTATTGGTGCTATAACTCCAATTTCTCAGGAGTTATCCATCGCCAGCAATGGACAGAAAATGAAGCACCAGCATAAAAGGATCAAAAGTGCATTTGCTCAATGCTGCAAGAATTGGCAAGCCATAATCTTATATTCACCAATGGAATAGATTATGCTAAGTTCATTTCAAAAGAAGTCTATAAAAACACATTAGCATACGAAGTCTGTCATGAAGTCTTGTGGATACTGCAACGAATCGTCAAACCGGAAACGTTTGGAGACCGTACTGCTGTCCTCTGGAATGTTTTCTTTGTCTTCCTTGTTGCTACAGGTATCATTACAACTGGATTTTATATTCCACTCTTCTGAGCATTTCGTTGCGTGTCCTGGCATCAGAGAAGGGCAGGAAGTTTCTTGAGGGCTACACAAGAGTATGAATTCCCCTTGCTGCAACCACGAATGAGAGAGACAGGCCTCTGCTGTGGGTCTTTGCCTTTGAAAGAAAAATACCAAGAGGTAAATTGCTCAAGTTAATTTCAGAAGCAGTAAGAATATAATTTAAGTAGTTCTGGCATATGCTGAAAATAAATCTTAACCACAAGTGGCATTACAGAGGGAACACTACACAATTAACATTGCTTCTTTGCCACTCACCAAGAGAGCTACTAGGAATGCCTTAGAACAAACTGTAGTTCAGGGTTCATCATTAGCAACGTGCATCTAGATTTTAGTTCATTTCCCCTATTCCTGAATGTCAAAACTGGCAAAGTTTTAATCAGAACAAGGAACATACTTTTTAGCTAATATTCATATCTCTTCAGAATGATTTCATCATTATATATATGCACATACTTATGCTTTTGAAGTCCTACATTTTACATATTTTAAGCATGAAATCTTATTTAATGAATATTCAGTTTTCAAAGAGGACCAAATGAGGGAATTTGTCTGCAACTCTATCAGACATTTTGCAGGCTTATGCTTTTGAAGTACTACATTTTACATATTTTAAGCGTGAAATCTTATTTAATGAATATTCAGTCATTCAGTTTTCAGAGAGGACCAAATGAGGGAATTCGTCTGCAACTCTATCAGACATTTTGCAGTATTTTACTGTTGGAATCACTGTAGCCCAGTATGAATTATGCCAGTTTTCAGTCACTCCCAAAGAGACTTGAGATTTACTAAATAGTTCCCTTGTATAATCTACTACAGTGCTACTATACTTTTCATCCTGTTTTGCATTGCCAAGTTCCACAAAACTTCCTGGGTATGCAACAGTGCCACTACCTGCTCTCAAATGCGTAGGAAGGCATAAATACTGCGTGGTGAGAGACCTCTGACTTTATGGAGATGAGTCTCAGAAGACAGACTTAAACATTCAAAAAGCCAGAGTCATTAAGCACTGGAAAGGGAAAAGCGGCTCCCGAGCACAGAACGAAGGCGCTGGCATGTGGAGAACAAGATGGCAAATGGAGAAGCTGTGGCAGAGCGTCGGGCTTCCTGCGGCTCCGCTCTGACACGCACTGAAGTGGCGCCTCATAATTGCTTCCCTGATGATAGTGCGCTTCCAGGAAGCTCTTTCAGCTGTTGAGAACCCCTCTACGCGATGCTACAAAATAGAAAGGACTTCTCATCCTTGATCTTGTCCTGGCTAGGCGCAAGGTAACAGGCAGTCTGCATTTCCTCAGAGCTGGCAGTTCACAGATGCCAGCTCCTGTAGCCAACCCCTGCTACCAAAGAGCCTCCTCCTCAGGCCGTGACCTCACGCCTGCTTCGTGGAGCCTCCTGTGGATGACAGCGACTCCCGAATACAGATGACAACGTGCAGCGTCAGCACCAACAATCCCTCATCAGGCCTAGCTGAACATGACCTGCTGACTTTCTTTGTAACAGTACCTGAGTTTAGTACTGACAGTCATTCTCCATTTCCCTTTTTAATTTGCTTGTGCGACAGTTAAACATTCAGTATTTAACGCTAGCTAAGAAGGGCATAGACAGTCCTTGTGTACAGTTCTCCCATTCTCAAAGACTCAGTTCAGCTACTCTGAAAGGCCTCCAAGCTCACAAGGAATGTAAACCTATGGACACATGCATCAGAAGTACAGAGAGGTTCCTACTTTTGATCGAGAATACTTTTGACAAGACTGAACCGAGCAAAACGCTATTTATTCCTGAAGAATGTTCAATCATAAGACTATGAAATTTATATAAAACTGTATCAAAATGGAAAGCTGCATTAAATACAAATGACAAAACATCAAAGCACTGTATCTTTTTCTCTTTACACACAGAATAATAAGAGACAAGATCTTTAGAGACAAGAATCTGATCTTTCTAGAATAATCTGTCACCCACATGGAAGTAAAAAGAGTCAAAGTGAGCAAACTAGCCTGTAAAAAATCATGAAGCCTGAATTTTTAAATACCCAGTGATAATACCCTACATGTGTGGGGTATATATATAATAATATCAGTGCATTTAGAAATGTGTAACTGATAATATTAGTGATACTAGGTTTTCATACTAACATTCACTTTTTCTAAATGCTCCATGAACACGAAACAGAATTTTTACTCTGAAGAATTTGTTACTTACTCTGGATTTTTGATGAGAAGCTTTTGAACGAAGTCTCTGGCAGGCTGTGAAATCGATGAAAATGTTTCTTCTGAATAATCAACGTTAACTTGAGATATGTTAAGGAAAGTTTCTTGATTATCAGCTCCCACAAATGGAGATTCGTGTGTCAACAGCATGTATGAAATGACACCTATGTTCCTGTGATAAGAACACAGCGTGTCATCCTACACACCTAAAGCAAAGTCCCTTGTCCCCCAGTTGTACTGCAGACCACAGCTTTCTGATGTTTGCCATACTGAAAACATGAGAAACAGCATGCTCTCTCACTTATGTAATTTGGCTATACATGCATGTACGCACAAATGGAAATCTATCCATACATCTAAATGAAGGGATTTCTGAAAATTGCTTATTTCTCCCACTTTTCTCTATTTTCCTCCTAGTCCAAGAGTAGCTAGTACCTGAAATATGTTCTCCAGTGTTATCAAGGAGTAATCTAAAGCAAGTTTCCCAATAATTATTATTATTCCCTTAGAACCACTGTCCAGTGTCTGTACGCTCAGAAGCCATTTGCATTCTCTACTAAACCGTGGAACAAACCAGACTTGTATGCAGTAATTCCAGTATATACCCTGAGCACTGTCTCTTCTCCTTTCTTTTATTTGGCCCACCATGAAAACAGTGTTTTTGTAAGCAAGATAAAGTTTCATCAAGAACTGCATCTAGACTCTAGATTGCTAATTGGTTATGCCTGCCTCATCAAAACAAAATAAAGTATACAACCTACCACATATCTGTAGCTGTCGTAATAGGATCATAGTTTAAGATTTCTGGAGCTGGAGAAAGAGATGGGAAAGATTCAGAAGAGAGCACTTTAGAGATACAATGTATTCAAGGGTTCTTTAAAACATACTCTGATCTTTTTGGCAAAGTTGTTTTTTTGCCAACTAGTATTGCAAGACTGAGCATGCAGTTTCTATAATCAGGTTTATTATTTCAAGCTACAAGGGTGAAAAACATTGTTTCAGTTTGATCAGAGACATTGACACTTAACTGGTTCAAACTGAACTAGTATTACATGGCATAAAGCCTATGCCAAGTCCCAAAATATTTTAAGTTCACATGAATGCACAGATAAAGCTGTATATTCCAGAGAAGTTCTTAAGAAGAACACACAGAGTCTTCAGGTAACTCTGTAAAGTCAGGCCATTTTTGATGTCAGCTGCTGTTAGTATATGCTGGATAGAGAGCATGCTATACATTACAGCAGGCTTAAGTAGTCCTAAAAAAAAACACACCTGAGTGTGGACAGGTCTTTAAGGAAACCTGCTTCACAGAGAAGATTGAGTCATAATGACATTTTCCTTCACGGAATATTTTCAACTCATTAAATCATCATACTAAACTGCATACTAGTTCAATTTTTTTTTTGTATGCACACTAATGTTACATTTTGGCTGTAAGCACAGCTTGTTAACAGTCAAGAATTCTTTGTGGTTTTACTCATAAAGCTACTCAACTGAAAGAATGTGTCCCAGCAAGAACTATGCCATCAAGTTAGATGTGCGCTATGGATAGAGTTTGGGGGTGTTTCTGCAAACATTCTCTAAAGGAAGAGAACAGCTCAAAACAAAAGGTTGCTTTGTGCTGTTGTTCTTTCTCCAGCAATGGCTCATCAAAAACAATCTATGAATTGCTGTATCCAGGAAATTGCATGCTAGCAATTCTGAAGGAACTCTTCCATACCTAGATATTCCGTTGTTCCCATGATTTGCCGCAGTTCACTGGAATTCTCTATCTTCCGAGACATACCAAAATCTACAATCTTTACATCACCAAGAGGATTGCAGCTGCTCAGTAAGATGTTTTGAGGCTAGAATAGATGAGTTTCAGCTCTTTAGTTCATATACTACAAGCTGCATAAGAAACAACATACCAAATGACATTCCAGTTTATACTATGGAAGGCTTGATGCAAAATTTTATTTTAAACATTGAGTTTATTTTTTAAAAAATAGCTTAAACTTGCCATGCTTACTTACAGTATTTTGACCACAGAAATTTGCAAATAGCTAAGCAGAACAGACACTGTCTGTATTCTAAAGTCTTCTGTATTCTAAGTTTTTATTTAATCTCTAATATGTTGCCCCTTTTCCTCATCCTCGTTATGTCTTAACCAATGATTTTGATGCTCACAGTATTAAAGGTAAACTATTGAAAGAAGAAAGTCTGACATTGCTTCACCTTTAAATCAAGATGCACAATATTGTTTTCATGCAAGCAGCAAAGTCCTTCAAGTATTTGTCTTATAAGTTTTATAATATCATTTTCACCAATTCTGTCATCCAGGTCCGGGATGCATAAGTTAAAAATTTCTCCTCCAGCAGCACTGAAACACATTCAAGAACATTCATTTAAACTTGAAATGTCGGGCTTAAATGAAAAAAGTGTTACATATAAACATCTATGTAAGTACATATAGTAGTAGTATATATGTATATAAATGTATCAATATTTATTTGTTCACTACTCATCCTAGAAACAGTTTTTTTTAAAAAAAAAAAAAAAAAAAAAAAACCACACACACACATGCTAAGACATAGCAAGCAAAGGGAAAAGATGGAGCGAGGTGGGGAGGAAAAAACTAATGATGCTTTTGTTGTAGCCAATAGGGGTTCAGACAGTGAAAGAATTTTTTGTATCGATTCCTCATAATGCTTTGGAAACCTCAACCTTGCTTTCTTGCAACTGGGCCTGAACAAGCCTCCAAGAAGATGAGTTCTATCATCATTCTGCAACAGAGGCCGCCTACCTCTCAAAACGAAACCTAAAATTTCTGGGACATGGCCAAACCTTCAATTAGGATATTTCCATGAGCAATTTGAGGGAAGAAAGATCAAAAGTGTTCCTACTGTCAAATAGAAAGTTATTTCATAGGTACAAAAACAACAATATGATAAATAACTGAGGAGTTTTTCTGGGAGTAGTTCTGCACAGTTACTATTATAGGGCCTGCCATTCCGATGAAAGACTGGAAGTCAGCTATTCCTGCCAGAGTTACCAGGAAAAACCTTTGACTGATGATGCTGTAATGCACAGCTCACCCAACAAGCAATATCTCCCAGAACTCCAGCAGATACAAACTATTCATGCTTTGAAATGCACCCTTGCCACCCTAATAACAAAGATGAGGTTGACAAGCTTCATGTTTTCACACAGCAACTCGAAATGGCTCCCTCGGAATAAGACTCTTATTTCCATACAGAAAACCACTAGCAGAGCAAAAAGGCAACGTGCAGACGACGCTGCGTCACTGTGCCGCATGCGGTTTCTTGGTCATTACTGCCACTGCAGCAGCATAGCGTTTCCTTTCACACGAGCTTGAAACCATCACTTGGCCTGCAAACTGCCTGAAGCTTTGCTCCCTTGCGGATAAAGGAGTTTCAAAGCTAGAGAGGATTAATCCCAAATTCCATTTTCAGTAAAATGATAAAGTCTATTAAAAAAAAAAAGGGGCGGGGGGGGGCACAAGAGAGAGACTATTAGTGTTTCACTTCAACCAGAACACTTTGCTGCTTTTTCCTGCATAAAATATGATGCTTAATATCACCGTGCTAGCACTTACATCCTAAGTACATTTCCCACTTTTCTGTTGTTTTAACACATTCATACACCACAATGAGTGCAGTATTTTTAAGACTTCTGAGTACACAAACGGGATAGCTTTTGGTCTATTTCAAGTCTCTACTCCATATTGTTTGATATAACTCTTTAGCTATGGGTGCAACATAACACATGTACAACACTCACTGCAAACACCTGAACAGCAATGGATTCAACACTTACATTTACATGAACATAGAGCACACCAAAAAAAGAGTCCTCAGTTTACTGAGGTATATCACGAGAAGATCCTAGCATAATACTTATCATGTACTGTTGTCACTTTTCTGAGTGCTCAGGCAACTTGTGCTAAAATTGAATATATTGACAGATTTGTAATTACAAAACACAGGACACCTGAAGAAAGCATACTTACTATTCCAGCACTAAGATTATTTCATTTGCAGTTTCATAGACTTCATGGAGATTGACTATCCGAGGATTAGATTTCATTAATTCAAGGACAGCAATTTCATGGAAAATCTCTGCTTTGCAGTCTTGACCTCGCCTTCTTTTCTTTAAAAATTTAGCTGCGTATTCTTGGCCTGTGGATTTAGCTATACATTTTCTAACCACCGCACATCTTCCTCTGCAAAGTAAAAGGGAAACATTAAAACCTAAGATATAAAGTAAATGAATTTCCATCAGAAATAAAAAGGTATGACAAGTAAATGAAAAATAAGGAAACTGTCAGGGAAGTGACATGTTTGGCCTTTTCTTACAACCCTGGCTGTCTGCTTTTGGTCACTGTAAGCTAACAGAAACTTAGATGTGACAAAGTACAATTCCTCTTATGTACGTAAAAGAACACACATTATATCAGAATACCTGCCTACATGACACTCTTACTGAACGTTCACAGCTTCATAGAAAAAAGCAGGTTGGAAGGGACCTCTGGGGAGGTCTAACCCTACCTCCTGCTCAAGGCAGGCAGCTATGAGGCCAGACAAGGCTGCTCAAGCAGGGATTTGTTCAAGTTGGTAATATAAGAGAAAAGTGAAACTCAAGCAAATTGTAGCACTTACAGGATACAGCAAACACATCTGTTAAAAAGCAGAAAACTTGGGAGATATAAAAAGAAGTTCCCTTCACAAACCATGTAAATACTGCTGAAAATTCAGTTCTCTGTTATGTTAAAAAACAAACAAAGCAAAGAAAGTCCCACTACTTCACATTCCCTTTCCCAATTACAGTTAGGCAAACTATGCTATTTAATTTCTTAGCCAACTGTTTAAGTATGGAAGCAAAAATGTATTTTGGCAAAGATACGTTTTTAAAAGAAAACCACATACCATAGTTAGAACACCAAGCTGACCTTTAAAAAAAAAAATAGAGGAAAAAATGCAGTTTTTAAGCCAAGTTATAAACTCCCAAAAAAACAAAGTTTTATAATCATCAGCTACACATTCCCCAAAATGCCTAGTTGCAGACTTAGGAAATGTTTTCAAATCATACAAGAGGCATTCTCTTTTCTTTAAGAAGAAAAAAAAAGAAAAAAAAAGGCAGAAGGGCTAAAATAAATTATGCAAAGCTCTAAAATCAGTTATAAAACTCCTTGCAAAGAACAAGACCGACACACCTTTGAACAACCAACGTTTTTCTATGTGCATTTTTTGCCATCACAGCACAAACCCAATGAAGGGAATGAATACTCACAACCTAATCTGCTTTTTCAACTCTATTAACTATTCCTGCAAAAGCCTTGCCCTTCTGCTGCAAAAGGCTGCTTAAAAGAAGTGCATCTAAAATGAAAAGCATGTTTGAAGCATCTTTCAATAAAAGACTAGATTTCAGTGTTCTATCAAAAAAAGTCTCATCATAAATCATATTTCCATTTGTAAAGGAATATATATGTTATGTACAGCTTGTACAAGTCTGACAATGATAAAACATGAAGAGTTGACCTGTATTTGTACTTCTGTCATTTATGTATAAACACATTCAACGAAACAGCTTCTCTAGCATTATTTTTAAGTATCAGTTACCAGTGGATTTGAGGTTTTTTTTGTCCTTTTTCTAAGCATTAAGTTCAAAAAGGCAGGAGCACAAAACACAAAAGGAAGCAATCAATTTAAGAGCTGAAAATCATTTACAATCTGATGTACACACACTTAATTTAGAAACTATCTACACATGTGAAACAGCTGAGCATTTTCCTAACTGTCAGGGCAACTTATTGTCGCAGAGCATTGAGGATTTAAAGTTTTCTGAGCTGAATTTTGTAATATGCTTGAGCCTGAAAATAGTCACACACCACAGCTTCCTCCAAACTAAAAAAGGGGAACTGTTTGAGTTTCATGAGAACAAGATCTTCCCTGAGAGTTTTTGAACATCTTCTGGGCAATAACTGCAGATACAACAGCTTTGAAGGGTCAGCAGTATCTCCAGAAAGGACTGCTAATGTCTGAATTCCTATCTGCTTATACTGTATTTGTGTCAATTATTAGAATGTAAAATTATAAAGTGAGCGAACAAGACTGCAAATCAATAGACACCTTTGAAGGAGTCACGCAAAAGAAAGCCATCTGAAAAAAACAGATAGCTAGATTCTGGCAAATACTGTTCTTATGCACTCCTGGCATCCAAAAAAAAAATGCATTTCATGAACAGATTGCATTTGCCATGCAAAGTTTTATACAGAAGTCCCTCTTCAACATAATTTAATTTTCTATCAACTGTTAACCTTTGCCATGTGAAGGGATGCTACGATTCCTGCCTGGCTTCTGCCTTTCCTCCTTCTGTACAGACTTCCATGCTTCATCACTGACTCCACATCTTCTACTACAAAGAACTTTCACCAGACATCTTTTTTCATCCCTCTTTTACCTTCACATGGTCATGCTACCACACCCCAGAGAATGGGATAAAGTCCTTTAAAGGCAGGATACATAGGTGTATGTAAAACTTGTTCCAACTCCTACAGCAGCATGCAGACAAGCAGGCTTTTAAAGGAAAGATAGTTAAGAATAAAGACACTGAATTATATTTTTCTTTAAGTCAGGATCTAGAAAATAAAAATAAGACTATGCTTCTAAAAACACCTGCAGACAAGCTAACACAGGTAGTTAATACAGTCCTGATGGCCAATAGTAATCGCACAAGCCAACATTAAAAAGCATCACTAAAACCTGACCCTGACAGCTCATCTACAAGGCAGCACTTCTCTAAAAGCGGAGCTGTAGCTTGAAGAAACAAGTTTTCTAGCTGAGTTTTCTCCAGTAAACTGTTCTGGAGCACTGGAATTTCCCCAGAAAAAGGAGGGGAGGCCAAAAAACAAACAAACAAAAAAAAATCAAGCAAAAAAAAAAAACAAACACACACAAAAAAAACCACCAAATCCCAGGTCTTGCACCAAAACGAGCACAGTGGTTCCCACTCCTTGTTGCCTGCAAACCATTACAATTTATAGCAACCCAGTTTTATAAGATAAAAACGATTTCAAGTTATTTTCACATGCCATGCTGTAAACCACAGGTACTCAACTACTCTGGAAGAAGCCAAGCCATCTGCAGGGAAGACAACTACTTTAACCCTCCAACACAACCTGCCTCACCTGTGAGTCACTATCTTAAATACCAAAAGGACCTAAAAGATGAAGGGTGTGGAGGAAACACAGAAGAGGAACAAAAGAACTATTTATCAAGTAATCTGAAGAGGAAGAAGAAAACAGCAGGAGAAAACAAAAGTAAATTACACCTATTAGAGAAACTACATATAAAGGTAAATTTTATACCACTTAGGAAAAAGGGTAAGCACCTTTAAAACATTAAGAAGATAAAACATTAAGAATAGATATGCACACTTAGGTCAGGAAAAGTTCAATAAGCTGTTTGGAAAAGCTATTTCCCTGCCTCTGTTTCTTTACGTTTTGGTATTAACTTTAAGTCTGTTTTTGCAGGTACAGAAAGGACTGCGTTTTGGAATGCCTGCAAAATCTATGCATGCAGATGCTTCAGACATTATTTCTCAGGTAAGTATCATCTGCAAATATGGTTTTCAGATTATTGAAGCTCTAGAGGAGCTATTACGTTTGCATGGCTTTCTACCCAATGCCCTGAATATTTTGAAGGTATGAAATAACCCAAAGATTTTAAACACACATAACTCAGAGGTCAGTAGCAGTATAAATATCAGAGATTTAAAAATTTATTTTACTGTTGGAAACACGTCAAGGAAGTCAACTAGGAAATAAATCTGAAATGGCAGGTTGCTAAAATCTAGTCAGTCAAAATTGCTGAGGATGAGAAGGAAAGAAAAACATCTTTGCTCTCTAAATGACTCCAACCAACTCAAATTTCCCATTTTTGCAGTATCACCCTATGCCATCTCCTCTTTATGCACCTGGAATTTGAGGCATCACTGGAGAGGGGTAATGAAGAATAAGGACATCCACATGTGCTGCCATAAGAGTTTTCCAGACAGAAAGCCTATCGCTGCACAGAGGATTCGGCTGCAGCAGAAATCCCTCCTACTAAAATAAACAGTCTTACCTTCCAAGTTCTTTAGATTCAAGCATGTAGAAATTGTGAAAATTGTCAGTCTTGATTTGTGTCTGCAGAGAGGTGGCCAACAAGCCGGAAAGGCTTTTATTCTCCAGCCTTCTCCTGGACATTGTTAGGAGCAGATGTCTCTCTTCTACTAGTCACCTGTTAAAGCAATATATCCAAGAGTTCTGGAAATCCCACAGCTACACAGCAGCAAAGTATACCAATATTAAGACTAACAGAATAGCCTTAAGGTTTACATAACAGTTACCAAAGACAACATATATAATCCACTTTAAAAGAATGCTGATCAACAGAATCAAGTGATGCTAGGAAACACAATTCAAATGCTAACTTTTTTTTTTGTTACCTCACCTTAACATTTGATATAATGTTTTTTTTGTTGTTGTTGTTTTTTGTGATAATGTTTTTTGTTGTGGTTGTTGTTTTCTGTTTGTTTGTTTGTTTTTCCCCCTGGAGCATACTCATAAATAATTTGGCATAAGCTTCTGTTCTAGTAAAAAGGCTAATAGCTATTTTAAGTATTACAGTTGTTATTTTTTTATTTCATTAAAATAAGCTTTAACTATTTTACATAATCTTTACATAAATTCTGACAATTCCCTGATGTTTTACACTCCATGCTTTTAATTAGTTTTGACTGACTTGAACAAGATCCCTTCCTTCTTGTTGTCTGCAACACAGCAGGCATAGCTGAATACAGGGGAAAAATAAGCAGAAAGCTCTATATTTGTTATTAAACTTACTTGTAGCTCACCCATGCATTTCTTTACTGCAAGACAAATTTGTCAGAGATCACCGTGAATGGACAACATCCTTTCTGCAAGTTCAGATCGTGCAGAACCAACGGACCAACTAGCAACACTAAAGCACATTAATAAACCTAAAGAACTGTGCATGGTGAAGATATTCCCACCCCTGTTATTTCTGCAGGTCACCGAGAATTAGCTCATTATGATCTGAATATATTGTTTTATGGCGTTCACATAAATAGGCCTGGCACAAAAGCAGAACACTGTCATGTTATTTAAGGATAAGAGAAACCTTAATGGATCGTTTTGTTGTAAATTAAAGAGCAGGATTATTCTTAACGGTGAAAAAAAAAGAATGCGAGTCAGATTACAGGTCAAATTGAGTTAACAACCTTCTCGAAACACGGTTTCATCCTCCGGATTGCAGCAGTGTGCTCTCAGAACTTCTGGGGGAGCACTTGGCCTCGCGCTGGCCCAAGCAGCATCCAACACCTACCACACCAGGGACAAACCCGCTCTCGAAACGCGCGCACTCGGGCTGCGACTCCTCCGGGTTTAAATACTCATGCTTA